CATCCGACAGCGCCAGGGCTCATCAGTACTGATGCTCAGTGGTCATTACGCATGAGCCAAAGCTTAATCCCACCGCAGAAATCTATGAAGTAGTGGGACCAGCAGTTACCATATGGCTATGTCGCTGGACTGCCATGTAGTCGACCGCGGTTCAAGTCCTGGACCCGGTGGCTTAAACTCATGCCGGGTGTGTGTGCATGCCCAAGATCCCAAGAGGAGAGTGGAGGAGAAGGGATTGCAACATGGCCATCCCCCCTAGGGGGGGTGATTTCTCGCTTTCTGTCTCTATGTCTCTCTCTGTCTTTCTTGCATGCATATGTGCCCTATAGCAGAAAACTCTCAAAAAAAAAAAAAAAAAACTATGAAGTAGGTTTCACTTAAAAACAATCACTTTTTACAGATTAAAAAGTGAAGTGAAAACTGCCCAGGTATAAACAGCCAATAACTAGGTGAGTGGAGATTTGGACAACCTAGGTGCTCTGCTCGGGAATCCGTGCGCTTCGTCAGCTCTCTGTTTAGGGTGCAGAAGCAGTCATCTGATGCTGGATGGCATAGTCCTCCCTGCAGAAGATTCGGTGTTGTCTGATAAGGACATGGTTTACTGACGCTCAGTGGTCATTACGCATGAGCCGAAGCTTAATCCCACCAAGAAAGAAACCAAGAAGTGAGATGTACTCCTCACCACTTCTCTTGATTGTTTTCATTGCCAGAGAGCATGTGTACTCAGAAGAGAAAGATAGCATGACACAGAACACAGGAGAGAGAGGGGTGGGGGTGGGGGGAAACACCCTGGATTGGATGCACTGCCCTCCCTTCTGTTTGCCCCTCGTGTCAGGATTTGGGCTGTGGATACATGTCTGGTGTATTTTTCAAGCCACCAGGCCAGGATCTGAACAGTGGACAGCCCCGTGGGACCTGGCTTCTTTAACCACTCGGCTGCAGGGCCAGCCTAACTTCCCATCCCTTCTAGTCAACATAATACTGATGCTACCAGCCTGTACAGAAGGCAAGAAAATGAAACAAAAGATAGAGATTAGAAAGAAATAAAACTGTCTTTGCAGACAGCATCTTCATGTACATTGAAAATGCTAAGGAATCTACAAAAGAAAGCAACTGGAAGAAAAAAGGAAATTCAGAAATGTTGCAAGATACAAAGTCAATGTACGGAAATAGATTTTTATTTCTATATACCAGCAACAAAAAAAATCAGATGATGAAAAAAAATGTAAAACCAGTGAAATAGGATCAAGAAATATGAACTACTTCGAGATAAATTTAACAAAATGTGTACAAGTCCCGTTCACCAAAACCTACCAAACGTGATTACAAGAACCTAAAGAAACAAAAAGGTATGCCATGTTCATGGATGTGAGGAGCCCGTGTTGTTAAGATGTCAATTCTTCTCCAGTTTGCTTGATGCAACCCCAACCAAAACTCTAGCACTTTTCTTATAGAACCAGCATACTCATATTAAAATTCATAAGTGCTAAGGACCTATAATGGGCAAATAATCTTTAAAAATGACACATTTGGGGAACTTGTACTATATCTGATTTTTAAGTGTACTATAAAGTACATTAATCAAGAGAGTGTTATATGTGGGACAAGCCAGCGATGTGGTGTGGTGTGAAGGCAGGTGGTTCCCACGCCCAACTATGCGGTTCACGTTCCGGACTTGGTGGCTTGAAAAAACACACCACGAGCATGTGTTTGTGTGTCCAAAGTCCCAAGAAGAGGATGGAAAGGAAGGGACTGTGGTGGGGCCATACCCTCTGGGGGTGCGTTCCTGTTTTCCCTCTCCCTCTCTCTGTCTCTCTCAGGCAAGGTCATGTACCCTATAGCAAAATAAAAAATAAAAAGAAGAAGAAGAAGAAGAATTAGAAGAAGAAGAAGAAGAAAAGGAGAGTTAGTGTGATATTGACACAAGATCAAAACACAAAAGTTAACTTGAAATGGAGTGTAGACCTAAATGTAAAAACCCAAACTATGATATAATGGTCCAACAGATGGTATAATGGTTGCTGGGCTCCCACATAGCCGATCGATCATGGTTTGAGTCTGGACCCAGGGGCTTAAAACTCAAGCCAGGCATGTGTGTGTGCGTGCCCAAGATCCCGAGAGGAGAATGGAGGAGAAGGGATTGCAGCACGGCCATCCCCCCTGGGGGTGATTTCTTGCTTTCTGCCTCTGTCTCTCTAGTAAGTGCATGTACCCTATAGCAAAAATCTCTCTCTAAAAAAAGGGTTCCAGCAGTTGGCATAATGGCTATGTGGCTGGACTCCCATGTAGTTGACTGCAGTTCAAGTCCTGGACCTGGTGGCTTAAACTCACGCCGGGCGTGTGTGCATGCGTGCCCAAGATCCCGAGAGGAGAATGGAGGAGAAGGGATTGCAGCAGCATGGCCATCCCCCCTGGGGGATGATTTCTCGCTTTCTGTCTCTCTGTCTCTCTCTGTCTTTCTGGTGAGTGCACGCGCCCTATAGCAAAAAAAAACCTCTCCAAAAAAAGAAAAAAAGGAAAAAAAACTATAAAGTTTATGGAAGAAAATATAGGAGTAAATCTTTGTGAACTTGGGGCTAGCAAGGGCTTCTTTTCTTTTTTTTTTTTAGAGATATTTTTACTACAGGGGACGTGTACTCACCGGAGAGACAGAGAGAGACAGAAAGCGAGAAATCACCCCCCCTGGGGGGAGCGGGGGGCAGTGATGGCCACACTGTGATTCTTCACCTCCATTCTCCTCTAGGAGATCTTGGGCATGCATCACATGAGCCCAGTGTGATTTAAGCCTCTGGGTCCAGGGCTCGAACCACGGCCAAGGTCCCAAGAGAAGAATGGAGGGGAAGGGATTGCAGCATGGCCATCCCTCCTTGGTGGTGATGTCTTGCTTTCTGTCTCTCTGATGAGCGCACACATCCTATAGCAAAAATCTTTCTTAAAAAAATAGTACGATTAATCAAAAAGAAAAATCAAAATTAAAAACTTCTCTTCAAAGGACCCAGCCACACTGTACAGGCAGTGGGGTACTGCTATGTAACACAGGAGCCATATGGGAGGCCTGGGTTCAGATCCTCGGTCACCTGAGTAACTCAGAGAAACCCAAGATCCTGGCCTACTGGGAGGCCGGAAAAGGATCTCGGCATGGTGGGACCCTGTTAACGATGCTTTTCTCTCTCTCTAGATCTCCCTACCTCTATCCCCAATGAAAGAATGAAATAAAATAGATTTAAAAAATGCAGACATTATTGAGAAAATGAAAAAACAAGCCACAAATCAGGAGAAAATAGCCACAATATATGAAATAAACAAAGGATTTGTATCCAAAATATATAAATAACTTAAAACACAATAATAAAATGATAACCTAATTTTGAAAATGGGCAAGTTAATTGAACAGATACTTTTCAAAAGAAAATGCCCAAGTAAAAAACAAGCACATGAAAAGGGGCTCAACATCACCAGCAATCAGGGAAACGGGTTAGAACCACAATGAGACATCACAACACATCCAATAGTTAAAGTTTAAAAAACTGACACCACCAAGAATGTGGAGCAACTGAAACGCCCCTACGCTGCTCATTCATCATGGGAGTGTACATGAGAAAACAGTCCAGACGGTTCATACCGAGTTAAACATACACTGGCTATATGACTCAGCAACTCCACTCCCAGGTTTGAGAGAAATTAAAACATACAACCCTTAAACAGTGAGACACAAATATCCATAAGCATTTTATACATAATAGCCCCTGAAGTGGAAACAACCCATATGTCTATCAGTAAATCTGTCCTTTTTTTTAAAGTATAATGCATACCTACCATGAAATATTTTTTAGCACTTAGAATGGACTGACTACCACTCTCCTCAACAGTATCCTCAGCAAAAGAAGTCAGACACAAACACTATATACTGTGCGGTTTTCATTTATATATAGAATCCTAGAACAAAATTATCTGCAGTGACAGTAGTTACCTGGGCTGGGGCTGGGGAAAATGGGACTGGCTGCAGAGGGCCCCCATGGGAATTTTCGGAGGGTGGCAAGCATGTTCTATTGTTGATTTGGATTGTGTTCACCCAGGTGTATACATTTTTAAAAAATTTATCCAACTATACCCTGAAAATGGGTGAATTTATTGTATGTATTACTATATAAAACACCTCAATAAAGCTGATTTTTTGAGATGGAGAGAAGAGGAGAACTAGAGGCACTGAGTATGGGGTAGGAGCTTTGTGGCTGATGCAGAGCCCGGAGCGGGGCATAGAGAAGTCGTTGGCACGTGTTTGGATCCATGAAGGAACACGGGGGAGGGAGGAGAAAGGAGCAGCCGAAGAGAGAGATGGGAAAGAGATCCCATGAAGACAGTGCTCAGGGGTGGTCAGGTGTGGCCCCTCCAGCGTCCCCCCCAGCCACTCGCAAGCTCTCCACCTTCTCACAGTCTCTGTGAAGGAGGGAACGTTGGTAGGGGAACTCCTGGGATTGAGACAAAGCCCAGGAAGACAAGCCATGACAAGGGCTGGAGTGTCCCCCCAGGTGAGGGTGAGGGTCTGCTGTGGCTGCCTGGTGGGGAGGGGCGGGCACGCCTGCCGGGAGTGTGGGGCCTGGGGAGGCTAGACTGACCAGCTTCTGTGCAGTGTCTGTAGCTATTGTTCCCCAGAAAGAATAGCTGGTCTCAGGGTCTTCAGCGGGACAGCAAATGGGACTTCCTCTTTGCATTTACTGTTTATCCCAATTCCAGGGACCGCCCTGGAGGAAGGAGCTGCAGACCCCTGTTCCCTGCCCTATAGAACCACAAAGATAATTTACTGGGCCCCAGATACAATAGCACACAGTGACTGATGACGGGATGCCCAGTCTAGGCTGCAGTTCCAGGATGCAGAAAGAGGTCAAGGTCAAGGTCACAGGGCACTGAGCTGGGAGGGGCCACGGCCCAGCAGTTTCGGGCATTGTAAGCAGCACAGGAAGCACACTTGTTATTCTAAACATTTGTATTTATTTTTATGAGCATTTTCTATTTATATCGTGTTTTCCGTTCACCATGGGCCTGCACAAAGCTTTCTTCTTGGTGTGTCTTTCTAAAGAAGAGGAATAATGAAATAATTAATCAATTCTATGTAAATATAGCAAAAATCACGGACAGCGTGCAAACAACTCTCTCTCTCTCTCTCTCTCTCTGCCTCGCTCATGGAAGAACAGGAAGGAAGGCATTTAGAGGACATTGGTAGATCGCTTCCCCATCTGTCAGTTAGGACCTGGGCCTCCCAAGGTTACACAAAAGTCTCTGGTGGGGGGAGGCAGCCTTGAACAGACACTGGCTTCTCACAGTTCTCGAGGAAATCCCAGGTCTAGATGCCAGGGACTCAGTGACTGCTCAGGGAGCGCTCTCCACCCGGCTTGCCTGCAGCCCGCTTTCCACCGTGAGTGGCAAACCCACAGGCACTTTTTTTTTTTTTTTTTTTTTTTTTTTGAGAGGTTTTTGCTATAGGGCGTGTGTGCTCTCCAGAAAGACAGAGAGAGAGACAGAAAGCAAGA